TGCACGAGAATGTGACCGGAAATCCAGACCCCACTATTCGTCATCGCGCGCAGGAATTGAACCTCTCCACAACAACGTTACATCGTTTCCAATTGCACTCTCGGCTGGTCGATTATTTTGACCAAAAATATTGGGCAAAATGTATTTCTGTTTGAACGTTCATTTTCATAACAGACTTCGATAACTTCAACACGTTTGTTGATTGTTAATCTTATCATGGTTGAAATTGCCAAAGACTTAAGTTGGCAAATCTGAAAGAAAAAGATAAAATCATTAGACGCTTAAACTTATTTCATATTTAAAATCGGTCCATAATATAGAAACACCCTTTATTAGTGAAAATACTTAGTTGAGTGCTGAAATAGGTGAGAGGGTTGCTCTCCTTTAGTATCTATTGATAACCACCAAATAAGATTGGCATGAAAATCAGTTTTACAATTTAATAAAACTTTGGATGCTGGAGATGCAAAACCAACGAATATAGTTAAAGCCATAAAAATAATAACATAAATATCTGTGGAAGTGACAGTGATGATATTAATATTTGTACTGATAAGACTGCCCGTTGGGTGCTGAAATATCTGGCTCCCAACTCGAAAAGTTGGCGCCTTTTATAATAATCGAAGGTTTGTTATTCCATTGCCTGGGCGCAGTCGGCGGTCGAGTGCATGACGGGAAAAAGACGACAGCTCACGTCGACAAAGTCCAATTGAAGCAAATCACGCTCACACACAAGCGAGATTTGCGAATGCTAGACCTGAGAGAGAATATGTTCTGGACACACGCATTTCATTCTGACACATACCGATTCATTGTCTAGTTTCCGCTTTGATATGAGGTTGAGAAAAGGAAATGGGTGAAGAAAAAGCGAGTTACAGCCGGGAAAGAAAATGAAATAGAAAGAGGAAAAAAAAAAAAAAAACCAGTGAAATCAGAGGAAATAATTATACTTTAAGTCTGTCTCTCGTTTTCAACACACACACACAACACACGAACAGATAGACACATAAACAAACACAGACACACATATATATGCATAGATATTCTATTCATATTAAATATACACAGACATATATTTATGCATTGATATCTATATAAATATATACACATATGTATAAATGTATATACACGCTTATGCATATATATATATGCAAACATTTATACAGACACTCACGCGCATGCTGGCTCACACAGGCGCACAAACATATATACTTATATCTATCTATCTATCTATCTATCTATCTATCTATCTATACAGCTTATTTTTTCTGAATAGACAAACTCATATATTTATGTATTCATGAAGAGAGCTCAATGTAGATCAATATTCCCTCTATTTCTCTCTCTCTCTCTCTCTATCTATATATATATATATATATATATATACATGCATAAATACGGTCACACACATACACACACATATATACTATTCTTTCTCAATATACAAACAGATATATAAACAGACATATTTATGTGTTCATATGTGTGTATAAATATAAATTATATATATATATATATATATATATATATATATATATATATATATATATATAGAACATATGTACAATATATAGATAGCATAAATATGCAAATGTTTAAACACACGCACGCTTGCGCACACACAGCGACAAATACACACAAACACCAATATATATATATATATATATATATATATATATATATATATATATATATATATATATATATATATATATATATATATATATATATGGTTGGATAGATATATGTCAGCTCTATCTCTGATATTGAGCGCTTTCTAATAAGTACCATATATAATATATAAATAATTATACATATATATATTTATTTATATTTCTATACACTTTTCACACACACACACACACACACACACACACACACACACACACACACACACACATATATATATATATATATATATATATATATATATATATATATAATAAACTTTCTCAATACGTAAACACAGCTATATATATATGTATTCATAAGTCTATAAATATAAATACAATTATAATATATTGCACATATAGTGCAGGTATTAATATATATGATGCACGATGTAAAATAAAAATTTAACGAATCATAGACATGAAATAGCTATTGTTTGCCGACATTATCAAAGATTTTCCTTAAATAATATTTTTTAAATAATTTAAGTAATTCTGTTACATATATTTGTTTTAAAAAGAAATATAATCTATTAGTAGTTAAAAGTAAAAACAATATTTTAAAATTGTAGTTCAATAGAAGGTATTCTAATAAAAAAAAACCTTTTAGAAAGATTCTCTATGTATACAAGTACGAAGTTAACGAATAATAATGCCGAAAAAGTTTTTGCCGTAGATAAAAATTACAAAAAAACCCCCAAAAAACAAAACAAAAAACCCCAAAAAAGACAGACGACATGCATTGAACGGATGTCATAATTCATTGAAAAAGGCACCACTACCCTGCCTAGACTTAACCTCTTTTCGAACGTAACACAAGTTAATAAAAAAGAACACGCTACTGCCCCTGTCCAAATGATTGGATTTCTCTGTACCTTGGAAACTAAAATTATGAATGTATGTGCTTTTAAAACTCAGTAAATTTCAAAATAAGTTATTCCATAATTCGCTTGAAGATGAATCAGAACTAATGCTTTTAATTTAATTATATACATGAATATAGAGTTTTTTGTTTCTGTTTTTGAAACATGGATTACCATGTGTAGCGATGAAACCATGTTTTAAATCAGTTAATTTATAATATATATATATATATATATATATATATATATATATATATATATATATACACACATATGTAGAAATGTATATATACATAAATATGCAAACATTTATATACACACACACGTGTGGTCACACACATATATATATATATGTATAGTATTCTATTTCTGTATTCATATATATATATATATATATATATATATATATATATATATAGTATTCTATTTCTGTATTCATATATATATATATATATATATATATATTCATAAATGTACAAACATCTCTAAAGAGACAGAGAAGTTGTGGAAAAATCTAAATATAAAAAAAAGTAGGAAATGAATAAAATGAAACGTGAAAATCAAAATTAGATGTAATATATATATATATATATATATATATATATATATGTGTGTGTGTGTGTGTGTGTGTTTGCGTCTGTCGTGAATAGGGACCAAATATAGATCACATATGGATTAGAATCCGACAAAAAATAGAAATATCTATATATAGTTCGAAATCCCTCTATATTTATAATAAAAGAATGCTTAATATATATATATATATATATATATATAGTTCATAAATTTTCTATACTTGTACAGAATGAGTGTTTAATATCGAACATAAAATGTGTATATGCATACATATATGTATGTGTGGTTGTGTGTGTTTGTCTTTGTCATACAGATAGATAGATAGATAGATAGATAGATAGATAGATAGATAGATAGATAGATAGATAGATAGATAGAGATAAATTGATAGGCAGATAGCTAGCTAGATATGAACTAATTATATTAATAGCTATATGGATAAGTAAGATAAATGAATAGAGAGATATATACGTAAAAGTAGATAGATAGATAGATAGATAGATAGATAGATAGATAGATAGGCAGAATGAGTGAGAGAAAGAAAGGGATATAAGTGGGGTAATTAAGAAGACAATAAAAAGAGTGGAAAACGTAAAAAAAAAAAAAAAAGAAAGAAAAAATAAGGAGTCCCGAAGAGAGAAAGAGAAGTAAAGGGAGAAACAATCTAAATGATAGCAAATGCTGAAACATTTTGAAAGAAAATGGGGACAAAATGATGTCATATTTGTCATTATTTAGCTGTCTCTAACTCAAAGTGCAGGCATATTTATTTCGGTTTAATAACCTCAGCAGGTGAAATGTTGGTGAAATTGTTCTTCCCACTGTTAAAATGACTGTCATTTTTCAGAAATTCCATTCCTAATTCGGTGTCTTTTAGAAATGGAAGTTTCTTGAACATTCAGTTCTAATGACCAAACTTGTCACTTCTTGTGCCAGTAACACACCATCGTAACTCTCTGATAAAGTCGACGTTTGTCTGTTAAGTAATAGAAAGAAACAGACAAGATAACAAATACATGGTAACGTTGAAATATTTAAATTTAGAGCTATAACTGTACTTAACGATTTTTATATCCTTTTAGAATTTGAAACTGTTGAAAGTGTAGAAGAAAAATTCACCGCAAGTTAATGCATATCTATTCATTTGTGTGGATTAAACAAATTCTTTCATTTCATTGCATATTAATATTGTTCTGAGTACACGTGAAAAACATTGAAATATAAGCAACACTTTTAGATTATTATATGTATACATCGATTATCCACACATAAGCATTTCAGATTCTGTCAATATTCAAAATTTAAAAACTGAAGAGCTTTTTTTTTATCTTTGTAATAATAATCGATTTTTTTAAAAAAGGTAACCAGATGGAGCAACCAATGATGATAAGTCAAATATTTCTTAAAGCCTTATGCAATATCATATAGCTTTATTGTACAATGTCACATAGCCTTATTATGCAATGTAATTTAACATCGACGATAATTTTCATATTCGTCATATTATATTTGAAGATTATTCATTTTAAAATTTAATAATTAACAATTGGTGATATAGCGACTAGGAAAATATACCAGTGCACAAAAAAGAAAAGAAAAACAGGAGCCTGACTAAAGAACTGATTGACTGACTGATTCATTTTTTACGCCTTAACCCTTTAACAGGTTACTTAAAATCAGAAAATACATATTCTTTCAGATTGTAAGATTTTTTTGAGATAATGATTTAGTGATACAAGACTTACTAATTAACCCATAGCTGGGGAGAAAAGTTGAATTCATAGCTTTCCCAAGTGTATTTGCGCGTAAATGAATATAACACCCAACTGAAACTTGGATCCCCGATTAACAATTCCGATCAGTTATACATTACACCACCTGCACATCCAAGCTTACAGCACCTGTTATTTTCAAGTGGTCACTTATCTATGTACTGACCAGGCTCGACGTTGCTTAACTTCGGTGATTGTAAGGAAACTGGTGTTTTGAACGTCATGTGGCCGTAAGTATAACTAAAGAAAAGTCGAGAGCTCTAAATATATATGTGTAAAATAGGGCCCGATATAAAAACTGCGAAAATACCGTCTATATAAGAGTGAATAAGAAAAAGGAATACAGATAAATAGAAGAAATGCATTTTGTCACCGGATTTATTCAACCGATATAAGAAGAATGTCTAAAGAAACTGAGAATGGCAAACATGATTCATTATCGGCGGACATAATAGCACATTATAAAATACACGGACGACAGATTCAGAAGTGAAAATGAAACAATCTAAGACAATATAATAAAGGAAAGCAAGAGAAAATAACTATTAACTAAGAATGTATGGTTGTTAGCAAAATAGGTACGGTGCTCTACATACTGGGGACATAGCATCAAGCATGTATAGGAACATAATGAGAAATATAAGGCAGAAATCTCATTTCTTGTTTCAGGTTTTCCACTTGTATGAAGTGAGGTGATTATATTAGTGCTTCTCAACCTTTTTTTAACCATGATCCACCTAAGCATCTCTAAAATTCTGACGCATACCTCTTGTGGCATATAATTCTTACTATTCAAAAAGTTAACTTCAATTTACATGGAGGAAGGCTAAAAGATCAATAACTTGCTCTAAACAAGCTTCAAAAGCACATGGCATCCATGAATGAGAAAAATAAAAGGACGAAAGGACAGGTGAAGTACCGAGGAAGAAATATATATATATATATATATATATATATATATATATATATATACATATATATACATATATATATATATATATATATATATATATATATATATATATATATATATATATATATATATATATGTATGTATGTATATATTTATATATATATATATATGCGCCAAGGAAATTTCAGGTTAGTGTCTGGAGGCGCAGTTAGACCACTGGGTAAGATGAAGCCCTCAACCTTTGTTAAGGTATTCATCATATATATATATATATATATATATATATATATATATATATATATATATATATATATATACTTATGTACTGTATATAATATATATATGTGTGTATGTATATATTATATACAGTACATAAGTAATTACACATGTATATACATATACACAAATATTTTTATGTATTCATATAGTATATGCACCGTATGTATTAACTCACACAAAAACTTATACAGACTCACCAGAGAAAATTCACTCATTCCCAAGTTGCCTCCTGTGGGGCGTGCGCCCCACGTTGGGAACCACGCGATTATATTTAATCAATCGTTAGCTCTGCTTCTAGCGTTTGAAATAAGTTTTCTCAATAGATTTAGTTAATCTATAGAACGAACAAACCCCAAGAGAAAGAGATGACCTACTATGCTTTATTATCGACAAGTATAATCGTGAATTTATACAAAAATAAGCGGATGGTAGATTCAGAAGGCAAACTGATAAAATATGAGACAATATTGTAAAGGAAAGCCAGAAAAATCACTAATAAAGTTTAATATAGAATACCTGGTTGTCAGCAAAAGAGGCAGCTCAAAGCATGAGATACATATTGTGAACGTAGACATTAAGCAGGTAAAAGAAACGTAAGTGTCTAACTTATATAGTGGTAGACGATAGGAAGTCTAACACAGAAATTAGATGTTTCATAAGAACACAAAAAAAAAAAAATGACTGATAGAAAAAATAAACAAAGCCTTAAAAAAAAAAAAGAAAATTTCGTTGGAAACACAAACAAAACAGTGCTGAAATTCAATATGGCATCGAATCACAGCAAATGCTAAACAATGTTGTCGCAGATGAAGAATAGACTAGCAGTGACAAAGGTCTAATTCTTAGAATGATGTTGAAGATACGATGAACAGAGCAGGTAAGTAACATGGGTGTTTTTATTTGCACTATTGACATTGTTCGGTCTGTTTTCTTCCAACCTTCTTCAGGTGATTGAAATTTCGAACTGGACCCTTTATTTCCTCCACCGGGGTAGATTGATCTAGTTCCACGTGTCATGTCTCTTCCGGGTGTCTCAGTATCAGTTATTTCCCTTTAACTCAAATCTCCGAGTCTTTGTTCACCTCAACTGTAGCCTGAACACACAACTCTTTGAGTCAAGTCACTAGATTCAACCAACGATTTTATCCATTGGGCATGGGTTCTTGATTCCAATTACCTGAAGAAGGCTGGGGCGTACAACGGCCGAAATGTCGTGAATCTGCCAACGAAGATGAGGACAACAGTACGAACAATGTAAATAGTGTAAATAACTGCAATACCTCATCTCAGAAATATAGACAGACTATGAGTGTCTTTAGTTGTAAATTTTTCATGCCGCGGTGTCAATATGTCTGCGTTGAGTAAAATACGTAGGGTTTATTGAGAGTGTATTTCTGTATAATATTCCGCCGGGCTAAGCATTTACAGCAACGTACTTGTGTGTATGCGTGTCGTGTAGCTGTTGGGGAACCGGCGAGCCGAGTTCAAATTTCGGCCTAGTAAGTTGCGTTCACTTTTGCAGAAATACTCTTCGGAAAGGCATGACTCTATGTATTCTTACTCCAGCTATGGGTTAAATAATTGAGTAGGGTGGTCTCTCTATCCTTGTTTTGGCAATCTAAGAGGGTAATGGGAGTGGGGAATCTCTCAATTATTTTTCACGAGAAAGAACCTAATATTTAGAACCAGAAGTTATAGTTGAAATTTCTGCGACGCCTAATGAGGAAAGAAGGTCTAGAAAACCTAATACTTACAGGGCGCAGCGAAGTGAATAGAAACAAGCTAAAATAGTTACTTAACGATTTTGCCTGAATGGATGCCTAAACAATGACAAAAAAGGATGAAGAATTCAACACTTACTTCAAGCAATAGAAGATATGATGTTGTGGAGAGCCGGATTCAGCGTCATTCTGCAGTTCCGAAAAAAAAAAAAAAAAAAAAAAGAAAGTAAAAAAGAACCCCCCTTACAAACAAAACAAAACATAAGTATATAATAATCATTTTTGACGAAGTAATTATGGTTCGGTCGAAACGAAATCGAATATAAAAGAATACAACTGTATGAATAAACTGGAATTGTGCTTTGAATTAAACCGGGATCCAGAGATCAAATCTCTTCATAGATTACTTATTTATTTCCAAGCCATGCTTCTTATTTAACGGTTGTATAATGTAAAAGCGACCCGAGCGCTAAAGACAATGGAATAAAATGAAAAGTAAAACTAGTCAAAAATTAATAATGGCAGAAAATTCTGACCAGATTTCTTTAAATCTTGATGGAAGTTTCAAAAGTGCCGACAAAAAGATAAAATACACGTTAAAAACACACGCATAACGCAAGCCACAAGCTCACGTTTACACGGCGATTAGATAATGACGTAATAAGCATACAAGAAAAAAAAAGAAGAAAAAAACCAAGGTAGTGAAATGTCTGCTTGTAACCTAATACAATAAAAGGGTTTCACGTCTTTTACTCTTCTATTTTTTATTAATTCCTTAGCTTTCTTAATGCAGAGTCAGTTTTAATTTAATCCAGATTTGAATAAGTTAATTATAGATTCCGTATTTTGTTCATTTGAATTTTTCTTCTTTTCATTCCTTGTTTACCACCTTGATTTTTTCTTCTTTTAAATTCTCTCACATAATGCGAATATGATGGTGTCTTTAGTTGTAAATTTTTTATGCCTACGTGTCAATATGTCTGGGTTGAGGAAAATACGTAAGGTTTTTTGCGAGTGTATGTCTGTAGAATTTTTGCTATGACGACTTCCGCCGGAATAAAAATTTACAGCAACGTACTGGTGAGTGTGCGTGTCGTTTAGCTGTTGCCTGCGACGAATGGAGAACTCGTGGGCTGAGTTCAAATTCTGGCCTAGTAAGTTGCGTTCACTTTCGCAAAAATGCTCTTGAAAAGGCATGAATCCATCTTTTCGTACTCCCGTTATGGGTTAAACAAGTAGTGGACCTCAGTTGGCAACTAGTCTAAGAGGGAAATCACAATAAGAACCACTCCATTACCTTTCCCAAGAATGTGAGGCAATTCACAAAAAAATAAAGAAAAAGACGCCGTGAAGAGCCATGATAGTCTATATTGTAAAGAAATATAATATTCTAAATAGTTAAAGGGTGAGCATTTAGATATTTCCTGTATGATATAAGATGAATAAAAAAGAATTACACTTATGTTACCTATATGCAGGCACTCTGACGTGGTGTAATGGTTAACAAGCTTGTCTCGCTAGGTGAATTACAACTGTGAAGTGAGTTCGATCCTCGCTAGGTGCTCCTTATTTTTGGCCTTGTGCTTCGTTTAGTAAATTCCTATAAGGAGATTTTGATATTTTGTAATGGTTGGCAAGTGTGTCTCGCTAGATCAGTTGCGACAGAGTAGTGAGTTCGATCCACACTAGGTGCTTCTTACTTTCGGCCTTGTGCCATAGCTAAGTAAATTATTATCAGGACACTTCGACATGGCGTAATTGTTAACAAGCTGATCTCAATGTTGTCGCTAGAGGACCTTATGTAGAAACTATATTCACTGAGTACAACCAAGTTCCCGTTTAATTCCCAGGAAGAGTAAGTCCCATTTCTTTGCTTATTTTTTGCCTCGTTGAAAAAACAAACAAACAAAAAAACCAAAAAACAAAACAAAACAAAAACCAGACGTGTTCGAAAATTCCAAAGTTAAATACTTTCTTTCCGTAATTCAATTTAGTCAAAAGGCCTATAAATATATAATATATACCATATATATATATATATATATATATATATATATATATATATATATATATATATATATATATATATATATAGAAGAAGAAAACCGCAAAAAGTTTTTGGTTGTAACGTAGATTTAAAAAATATATATATAATGCTTTATTTTCCATAATTTTGCAACACGTGTTTCGGGTCTCGTGACCTTCTTCAGGCAAAGAGTGGATATTTCCACATATTATTAAAATGGATTCATTTTCCTTATGTCTTTCGATATTCAATATTCTCTTTTATGTGTGGTAGTTATACAAATGTCTTTCTTGGA